ATCACGACAGTCAGAGTAATAGCAAACATATCAATGATTGCATCACCTTAAAATCATGTAAAAAGAATGTTTTTTAATATTTTGAATTGAATTTCGGGTTAAATATGAAATACGAAATGAAACACACAAATATTCATTTTTCAGCATTTTTAACTTTAAAAAAAAATCAGTTTTGCAAAAAAAATTACGAAATCATACTCTTTGCACGTTCCTCTGGTGCCAATACTTATACTAAGGAAAAACGTTGTACTTTTTATAAAAAATTAAGCACACAAAATTTGACTCCCGTACTACAAAACTGATCGTCTTAATTAATTTTAAAAGTTGCGATTTTTTTTTATGTCATTTTCAGTCTACATTAAAGGATTGGTTAGCAAATAAATTAGAATAACTGCAGATTGAAATTTCCCCTTAAATGCTATATAGTGATATTGTTTTATGATTTACTAGTTTCTTTAATTTATAATTTTGTTACATTTGGTATTATTTGATTGCGGGACACACACAATGGTATCCGAGAAGGAAGGGATAACTAGTGGAAGATTTTAGGGAAAACAGGTTCGTAGCCAGATATTCATGGGAGAAAGGCCCATGCAGATAGCCTGTTCGCCAGGATTCAGACCCCCGGACCGAACTACCAGTGTTAATGCCTTTATTGCTTGGCCGCTGGTGGGTCCACATCTAGTATGCCGATAGATTTTCACACAAGTAATTTACAAGTTTGTCTAAAGATTAAAAATGCGTTATTAATATTCTCATTAAGACTTCGTCACTTTAGAATCTTAGAATCCTCACCCAGTAATCGTAAAAAATTTCGTTAAACTGCAAATATTTTTAATTTTTAATTAATGAAAATAATATTACAACTTGACTATGTGGCAATACTGAAATCTACTAGGTTCCTCTAGAACACGAATTCATTTAAGATTCTGTGAATTAAGCTTTACATTTTGGAAAAAAAAATACATTATTTTGCCTAATAATCTGCACTGAAACGTCTCGTCATTTAATCTCTTAATTTGAGAAACATTTTTCTAAACTGATTATTTTATTTTTTTGTTGCATACACATTTTGATCTTAAATTTATCTAAATGCCCCTAAATATCATCCTTGACTCTAATACCAAATATCAAATAATGTTTGTCGAATTGTTATCAAAACAGAGTTAACGAGTTAAAAAAATTCCTAAAGGTAATTAATTATAGAGCCCGGAGGACCGTATAAGATTTCGTAATTTTTACAAAATTAATTGCATTAAATTAAAAATGCCAAAACACGAATCGTTATGTCATTGTAAATATTTTTGTAACTTGAAGTATATGGTTACAATCTACGGAAGCTAACTACGTATATGGCTAACTGGAAGTATATGGCTTTATTAACGGTATATGGCTACAACCAACGGTTATGAAAATAAAGGCCGGGTTTAAGTTTTTTAGCTTGTTACTTTTGGCACTTGTATCAAGAAAAAAAGTTACTTCATGATTGTATAAAGTTTTTTAGCTTATTAGGTTTGGCTCTTGTATCAAGAAAAAAAGTGACTTCATGACTGTATAAAGTTTTGAAAATGCTTACCCATTTTTCTATAATTGGCAGTGATTTTTCAGGAAATAAAAACTATTATGGAGTGTTAAAGTGGAATCTTTACATTCCAGAAAAGTAACTTTAGAAGTTAATGATGACTGTTCGATAAGTTATGATTCCTTATTTACATACCTATAAGATAATTACAGTCTAAGTCTATAAATCGATTAGGTTTCTCCTTACCTTTCCCCAGTCTTCACACTAAGCAATAAACAATAGGATTCATCTGATTCCCCAGAATCCAAAGTAGGTCGCAAAAATTAAGGCCATGAAAAATGAAAAATCTAAATAAGCATAAAAGCGAGTTCAAGTTTTACATTCATAGGAGTCTACTCAAGGTTAAGCTTTATTGTGAAACATCCATTGTTATAATCCAATCTAATAAGTTGCCTTTGGGTGATATCAGTCTATCAGATCTTGGGGAGGGAACTCCGTGAGAACCTTGGCTTTGAAGAGTTTTATTTTGGCGGACAGTCTCCACAATTTCGTTTTCTTACACTTCTGTGGAACTCATGGCATGCGAGTTACCGCAGTCCAGAATCTTAAGCTCCGATCACGACCTTGAAGATAAAATTGCTTCGAAGACTGCAGGGGATGTTTGTAATTATATATATTTCCGGTTTTTCTTACTCTGTTTTCTTTTATCGTAGAGGAATCGGATAAAATAATGTTTGGGCTAATTATCCATAACCTGGATATTTCCCATGGTGAATAAGGCAGATGAAAAATGACTTTGAACGAGAAGTATTCCTTATGGAAATCGACTATATCTCTCTTAAAATATAGGATGCCGCTTCTTTCGGTTTTTTTTTTTTTTTTTTTTTTTCCCCTCTTCCATTAAGTGTGGAAATATCTGACCTCAATTACTTTGGTGTGCTGAAACACTTTTCACTAGCTAATAGTATTTCCACCCACTGAGTTGAGTTCCTTTCTATGTTCTGAAATACTAAATAATCTGAAAATATGAACTCTGATATGACTAATGCGCGAATCCATATTAGGATTATTATAAATAGTCCAGAAAAATAGGCGATATTAGAATTATGCCATGCTTGAGAAGTTGTTTGTGCAACTGAAGAGTAATCTTTGCGCGATTAATTAACATATTTTATGACAGGCGACAAACCAAACGAGCTTTCAAACATAAATTTATTTTTGTAACGGACTTCTGCGAGACTTCTAGCGTCTTTAGAAAAGCTTTCATTTTCTTTCAAAGAAACTTATTCTAAACAAAAAAGACTTAAAACGCAATCGCAAATAATATGAAACCAATCAGATTGGATTCGTAAATAATAAGAATATACCTGCATTTAAATGCCGAACTTTTCTTTATTATTTCTTATTCGGCTGAAAAATAGAGTAGCAAATAAGTACTAACTTTTAACGCTTTTCCCAATTTTTGATAACGCGATTTGTATGCAAAAATTTGCGAGCGGCTTTTAATTTTAATTAAACTACCCTAATTGGCATTTTTAATTTTTATTTTTTATTTGAAATGTTTCAAAGATTCACAGACATCAAGACACTATTTAGAAACACGACTTTGAAAATTCTTCGGCTGCCTCTTAAAAAAGAATTTTGAACAGTTTTATACAATTTTACTATATTATGTTAATTTTATTGAATTGTTTTTCTTTTAATTTTGGTACGAGTACTTTCTGTTAGAGTGTTAGACCCCCTTTCGTGATCTAATTTTGATTTAGTTATCATCTCTTAATTATTTAATTAATTTCATAGCAATTTGCGAAATTTGAATAATAAAAGCGTCTTAATTTGAAATTCTTCATCTTGTGTTTATATATCTATATCTATCTATCTCTCTATATGTCTATCTATCTAGCTATCTATCACTATACTACCATTGTTTAGTAATAAACATTATCATCTTCTGCCAAAACACATATCGAATTCTGCAAAATATTTCCACTTTATTAATCCACAGAGTTACTCTAAGTTGACGCTTCCCAAACTTTTCTCTCTTGGGTACCTGTCTTGTATAATCTTTTTAAAACAGCATTTTTACTTAATAAACATTAATAGGCTATTTTAGTGTAAGCACTTAAGCGACGGTTTGATATTCATAGCCTGTTAGAATGGCATAGAGACAGCTTGCGTCCATAAGCTGAGGTCATAATGAACATGAGTTACACCTACCATGCCCTAAATCCTAATGTCACTCTACTTATCTTTCTTCTGCCGCCTTAATTGATACGGTTAGCGATGATAGCTACTATATTGCTGGACTTGAATACGAATCACAGAGAAGGCTTAAGCATATAGTGCCTGTGCGACATAGAGGCATTTTAAACACTGTTTAGTGAAAAGGCCTCTTCCGTGTTTTTGTAATAGGAGCAGAGGGTTGGAAGATTCTCAGATCTGTTCCCCAGGGTGTTTTCCATGAAAATTGGGACGAAACCGTACAGTTATTGGGTTAGGAACTGTTCTTGTAAAATAATTGTTGAATTTCTGGTGCCCCGCCCATTTCTTCCGATCCTGTTCTGTATCAGTCTACCTTTTATATGTTTGATACTTGATATACGAAGCTTTCAGCATTATAAATCAGAAAATGCGAGTTGCCTATGCACATTACAGCGTTCCATTTGTGCTATCTAATGTTTGCTATTCAACTCAAATTTAAAGATCATTTTAATCATGTAGATTCATAAATTTTCTTGAGCTGCTCTTTATGTGTAAAAAAGTTCGTAATTTCTCTCATATATTTAGCTGTTCACTTTGTTCAATAGCAGATTGCAGTGGAAGTTAAAAACAAACCTCGCACTTCTGCTCTCCAAATGTTAATGAATAGCACGCCGGTATTCTTCTTTCCTCTCTCTTAGTACTGATATACGTTTCACTCTATACAACCATCTCTGCGCATAATGTAACAATTATTACAATTCGAACTAGAAGTTTAATTTAGTGAAATGACAAAGCTCTATATGAAGTTGTCTTTCAAAGTCTTCCTTTAAAGAAAAAATGTGTTTTATAGGGGGGGGGGATTACTCTTTTTTTTTTTTTTTTCAGTGAACTGTCATCTATTTCATCTATTGCATCAACTTTTATATTTTTTTTTATTCTAGCTATTATTCGCTTAAAATTGTGAGCATTTAAAGCTAATGTTAAGCAATCTGTTCATAGATTATTTTAATATTAAATACTTTTCGACATTCGGATTTTGTCAATCAGCAGAAAGAAATTGCTTTCAGATTAAACCTGCAAACCTCCAAGAATCAGGCAGTAATTTTTTTTTTTTTTCATTGGGAAGCTATTTCGTATTTTTCCTTTTACTGTACATTATAATTATGCATTGAGTTAATTACATTATGCTGTATTAACAAACTGCAAAGAATTAATTGTAGAAAAATTTCTGATTAGACATAATTTCGACTAAACAAAATTATCTTACATTTTTCAGTCTGTGATCATGTTGATGTTTCGGGAAGAGAAACCCGCTGACGAGGAATTAAAGGCCTGGCAGTCCTGGCACAGTCGGCAGCACTCCGTCAAGCAAAGGATTCTCGACGCAGGTTAGTAATACTTAAATTATTGTTGGTTATCCTCTAAAAAATATGAAAATTATGAAAAGTTGAAAATCTACAATATGCGGGATAATAGTAAAGCATAAATCAGTTTTAATTAAGTAACCTTCATATTTTTTGTCTAAAGGACATTAATTATTGCTTTCGTCTATCTCAGCAATGCCCGGAAATCAAGCATTTTTTATTAGTACATAATATTTCGCCTTTTTATTCAAATTCTGGCCTCTTTCTACGTTTAAACATTTGTATTTCTGCTTGAAATAGCTCATTTCAACATACTGATTTGGGGCGATTTAGTTTTTTCGCAAAGATTTGTAATTTATTTTTCTCTGCCTTTCAATAAAAGCAAAATATTAAAACATCTGCAGCTTACTATGACACTTTAAGCCATATGAAGCCAAAAGCAAAACTTGGATTTCTTTGATCAAAATTATTTACGAAAGAAACTTTTACCTCTAACTAGAGATTATTTCTTTTATGAAATTATGGAAAAGTCAAGGATTTATCCTTCGACTCATAACTGTAATCATTTCGTCAAATTTGGACAGTAGTGAGCAAGAGGTCCTGTTCGATGTGACGAGGGCATATTAATAGGTCACCGAAATTTTCTATCAGTAGCATTTATTTTCTACTTCAATGCATCTAATCTATTAGTTCCAGTTAGATGAGTCGTTAGGTATTCTGAACTTCGTTAAGTGAAGTTAATAACAGAGAAATTGCAGTGTTGTATAGGGTCTCTAAAATAACTTTTATTGAGCTTACCTTAAAAAAATGGTTGAGCAACACTGAATAAGCATACTAGGATTATTCAGCTTCCAAATTTAGACTTGTGCGTTGAGTTGTAATACAGATTTTAATGTTCTCGAACTCATGAATCTCAAATCAAATTTAGTCGTCGAATATAAAACGTTTCAAGAATAGTATATGGCATCTTAGCTTTATTAAAACTATAATTGAAACCTGCAAAAAGAGCGCTTGTTTATTACAGGATTTGGAGGTATTATTAAAGCGTGTCAAAATAATAGATTTTGTGTTTTTGATATAAGTGTTGTTCGAATTCGAATCAATGTAAAACTGAGACTTGCTGTATTACTTCATTAATGTCTAACAAATATTCTTCCGATTAGTTAAAGAAATGGTAATAATGAATACCTTACTATTTCGTTTTAATATACCCAGGATGCTAATAATTAAAGCTACATCTGAAAAAACTCCTTTTCAGCTACCATCGCAACAAAGTATAAAATATTGTATGCATATATCAGGTGTTGGATGTAAATTCTGCTGTATCGTGGAGTAAAAGGACTGTTTTTAAAATGAGGTTATTTTATGTTTTTTATTTACAGATACCAAAAATAGTACAGGGCTTCTTGGTCAAATCGATGAAATTACTCATAATGCAATTTCTTTCTATTGGAACCCTCTCGAGAGCCCTGCAAAGGTAAATTTATGTTCTTTTTTTTAATTATTATAAAAGCCCAAAATCATTAAAGACTTAAAAAATTTTCCCATTTACTTTGTTTTGAAATTATATTAATTAATCAATGTAAAGAAACTTTCCAAAAATATATTAGTACTATAGAAAAAACTATACATGAATATTCGAATACTGCCAACTAAATTTTATGGTTATTTTGTTAATTCATTCACAGTGTTAGTGCCCACTACTGCTGCTGAAATTGCTGTCCCATGACAGAGAGTAGTTAGCAGAATTATTTTTATTTTAAAAATGCATTATTATGGAAGAATCAAACCACTAACATTTCAGGCAACTTTGATGCAGTGAACATAAAGAAATCAGTATGTTGAGCATCTGGCTCTGACAACAGCAACTGTTATGCAGCTAGGCAGGGAGCTGAACTGACTTCGGATGGAATTACTCCCATAGCAATCCATACAGTGTCATTTTTATGCCAAGAGTTTAACTGTCATACTAGCTAGCTGGTGCTAGTCTGCATGCAACTATTAACAAAACATTTTCCATTGGTAAGAGAGCCAAGACATGAGTCAAATATCCTCTTTAATGAGTTGGAAGGCATGAGTAACATGTGGGCATGAGTAACGTTGGAAGGCATGAGTAACATGTGGTCTTGCGACGTCCTATTGAAAGGTGAGGCACCATAGTTTCTGAGGACATGTCACAACCATGAGTATTTAAACCTAAATGACATAACGGTGGCTGGTCAAAGCATCGGATTGACCGAGTTGAACGGATTGTCCACCCAAGACACCTTAATGCAGATGCTCGGCCGGTATGACGACAAACATTCCCCTCAGTGTCTTCTACAGGTATAATGATGCTATAATACCTGTATCCACGCGATTCGTCAGAAAAAAGAAACTTATTCTAATGAGCGTGCTGTAGTGGTGTAGATCTAGAGTTCGAATCCTTGGCGAGTTACATTTGCTGTTTCCTGTTCAGGCGTGCCTCTGTCTCCTGTTCTAATGCTACAGTAGAGGCATTAGAAAAATCTAATGCCTCTACTGTAGCGCCCGAACAAAAGTTGTAGAAGTCGATTATTCGTCACTACCCTGGAATTGATCTATTAATTTTCGCACCTCTCGCTGTCGTCTTTTAAGGAGGAGAGGACATAAGGAATAATCCATTCCTCTTTATGTTATCTCCTAAGGTAATCGTTAATATGTCCAGCAAACAGGCTAAAGATGCGTGTTTCGAATCTCTGCAGGATCACTGTTGCTAGCTCACATTTCTGGAAAAACCTATTCGACTCTACAAGGGCATAGATACCCGACATACGTCATTAAAGGTACCATCAAGGATGCTAATTTCTGTGCTATTAATGCGCAGCACACTCAATTTTCTGACCCAGGGCACGTGATGTGACAATACAAACCCTAACATCGAGGATGACAAGATGTGTGTCCTCTTGCCTACTGGTGAATGTGAGTTGTGCAAACCCTGCATATCGCACTGTATGGCCCTCTTTTACAAATCGACACAATACGAGTTATCGTAAGTGCCACTGGATCTCGCCCACCAGCGGCCGAGCGGTAAAGTCGTTGAACACTGGTAGTTCAGTCCGAGGTTCGAATCCCTCGAACGGGCTGGCTGCATGGGTGTTTTCGTGGTCTTCCCCATGTGTAACGTGTATACGAGCCAGTTTCCCTTAGAACGTCCTTCACGAAGGCATCTCTTCCCTTAGGCAGATAGCCCTAGTGTGCTTTGCCATAATTAAATACACCACACCACACCACACCGCCACTGGATCTCAACCAGAACGATCAGCACTTGCGCGATACGATAATTCGCAGTCTTGGTAGGCTACGATTGTTTTCCTACCGAAATCTAGGGCGTGTTGGATTCTTCTTTATACAAGAGACGTAACATGACCTTCATTAAAAAAATATATATATATATGAGTAAGCGCGATTTCCTGTTGGAAAAATTGGAATTTCAGTCTGCTTTTTAAAACTACTTTCAGGTACCATACTCTTACTTACACGCCGTAAAATATTAATCATTTGATAAACAATAAATATGTTATGCGCTTATTTCATGGTGTAGCAATTTTAATGTATAACAGTGCATTATTCTGGTTTTAATGATTAATTGTGAACGTCAGTTTTAAAATGTTAATCAAATTATAGATTTATGCAATATTGTCAGGTATTTAAGTTATAATTTTCTTACTGAATTTATGAAGGCCAACATTTTTATGAATTTTTTATGAACCAAATGTTTGTACATTCACAGCTCAGTTCCAGTAATTTATTAGCAAAGAAAATTTCCCATATTTAATGAAATTATACTTGAAAGAGAATACTTGAATTTTTAATGTAAATTTATAAAAGGTTATTTATTAATACATATGGGTATCTCAATTACTTGTTGGGTTTTTAATAATTTATTATGCAATGAAACGTTGCACGCAACATATACGAAAAGAATAAAAGAGAATCAAATATATAAAATCTGGTATTTAAATATTTTTAAACACACATATGTATAAGGAAGAGTCTGTCTGTCTGTTTGTGTCTTTTGTTCGTGCTGCGCGCGCGGAAGCTAACAGGCCCAGGGCTACGAAATTTGGTACGTAGGGTGCATTTAGACAAGAGCCAGTGCACCTCGAAGCGATTTTTTTCAAAATTCGAACGAGTTTATTTTATTTTATATTTTTTGATGAAATCGCATCAAATCGATAATTCAACAACAACAATGGCATGCAGCCATTGTTGCTGATATATCGCTGTTGCCATTGTTGCTGATATCAGCACTGTTGCCACTCGGAAAAATGAGAACGATAATTCTGTGCAGTTTTTTAATTTAATGTTTCCCTTGGATACTGAATGTTTATCGAAAGAAGGCAACGGGAAGCTGATTAATTAATTTATTAGGATAATTAATATTTGTATTAAGGAATATTTCTTATTTCATTGTAATTTTTTTTTGTGCACTACATATTTATTAATTTTTTTGATAAAGTTGTTCTGCAGAATAAAATTCTGAGCAGTTTTTAAATTTAATGTTTGCCCTTTAGGCATTTTTCCGGTACATTTAAAAGCCAGACGAAGGCTGGCTGCGTAGCTGCTGGTATTAATATAAAATTCGCAGAAACATTATTAAAAAATTCATTAAGAAGGGAAACTACATTAATATAATTTTTAGGGAAAACGTTCACTTGATCTGGTTAGGTAATTAACTAATCACCATTTTTTGTTTAGTTTGATAAATGAATTTCACATTTAATCAGCATAATTTTAACTGTTGGTCTAATTTTGACTGTTGGTTTGACTAAATTAGACTGTTGGTGTTGAGAGATGCACAAAGCTTTAAATTGTGAAGGGAATGCAAACAGCGTACTTGTAGCCGGACAACATCACCTTCGGAACCAATACGAAAACATAAACAGGAACCTAATGTTTAAAAAAAAAAAAAAAAAAATGTTGCTGGAGCACTAGATAAAGGCCCACCAAACTCGCGACATACCAGCGCAAATTATTCAAGAGGAAACCAGTATTGTCCCGGAGCAAAGCCCTCTTGCAATGCTTAGTCGCCATGCTTTATGTCAAGTTATAAAAAGTGCAAGTAAAGAAGTTTTGCCTCTGCAGTCAACTACTTTATGTTTTTCTCGTTGTTGATAATCCATTAGAACTTAGGGCTATTGATGATGGAAAATTGTTTATTAAATGATTCATCCTTTAACTATTAATAGTTTCGGTGAACCAGAGTATGCGCAGAACTTTTGCATTTTCACCCATCCCAACACCTTTGTTTAGGGTAGGGGGGATGATCTGGTTCACCAAAAAAGGTGTTGTTGGGATTAGTCAAAACGTAGAAGTGATTGATTTCAATATTTGAATGATTTTGCTGCTGAATATGATCTCTAATAAATTTCTGATTTTATTATCAGTTTCTGAAAAAGCAGCAATTCTTCTTATCACGAATTTCCAGATGCCACTAGTGAAGGTTGTTTCTTTCATCCATTCTGACTATAGAGCCACAAAATATGTGGCTCTATAGTCAGACATCACGGTTTGCTAAAAAGTATAGCGAAGGTGAAAGTTTTCAACTTCGATACATCCCATCTTTTGCTTTTCTTCCATCTGCTGATATTCCATCTGTATTTTGAAGAGTTAAACCTTCTTATTCCCGATGAAGCAAATGCAGTAGTAGAGTGGTTCGACGATAATTACATTGTATGGTAAAATTAGGCAGAGTACAGGAAAAATGGAAAGATCACTCGAAGTCCTCCTTTATTTCCTCCAGATTTTTTATGATTCGTATTCCATCCATCAAAAATTTTGATACTCCAAGAACGCAGAATTTAGTCGAAGCAGGCGTTCTGAAACACTTGTAGGAAAATATTATGTTTATTTTTACACATTAATTGGTAGGCTTAGGAAGAGTTACAAATGCAAAGTAGGGCAGAGGATATCATTCTAGGAGAACTTTTTCGTGAACTCGCAAGGAACACTTTGAACGAGAAAAACGTATCACTACTGTCTTTAGCGATAGAAACAAACCGAACAACTTTGGATTTCTTGCTTGGTATTGCACACAATATTGCATTATAGATCATTAGTAATGAGGAAATCCTTGGTGAAGAAATCTCACTCATACACAACACCCACATATATATAAAAATAAGTATAAATAAAATAAACTTTTAATGTTACCCAGAATGAACTAAAACTCCGGGAGATCCCAAGTCATTAAAAACGTAGAGAGGTAGGTTACTACTAACTACATATACTTGTCAAATAGAAGGGTAGGTTACTACTCATTACATACACCTGTCGGATAATTGTTACTGTCAGGTAAATGGCATCTAGCAATTGAGTGTCGGACAAACGTACCTGTCGGGGGAATAAACACACACATCAGGCAACCGAGTTGTCGGCCATACAGTGTCGGGCAACTGAGTGAATGACATTTAAAGTCGTATTAATCGGACTATCTTGATCTAATATCTTAGTCACTCAATACGAATGTTCTAGTCTTATAAAATGTACAACATAGGCCGACATAAATAAAATTGCAAGCTCTTTTACATTCTTTGGTATTTAATACGGTCTAGATATTTTTCTTTAGTATTCAGTTTAAATTTTCATACATTCATTAAGACTAAAATCCCAGTGACTGAGCTGTCTGTAGGGGCATGTTTATTATTTTTCCCAAACATAATATGAATACAGGCTGCTTCCTTTAAGAGGTCTTTCAAGAAAATATCTTTCTCCGTCGGCAATCTTGAGCTTCGATGTATGTTGCACATACATTACAACTAGAGTTAAAAGTAATTAATTAACACCGTATTAATGAAATGTGATTTGGAACTTTATTACCAGCGGTGTTATCAGTAACTGACCAAACTATGGATAACTTTGTAGAGCTGCGTGCCTCCAACCTGCACGCAACCAAGAGGTGACTGTTGAAACTGGAAAATAGACAGAGTCTTGCTAAGGGTTTAAGTCCCTTTTTATTCAACTTAAAAAGAAAATTACAATTGCGTGCTCTTGACGCTCACAAACTACGCCGACCCGGCGGTTAAAATAAAAATAAAAATAAGAACCTGAAAAGAAAAATATAACAAGACTCTAACTACGAGGCTCTCTAAACGCAACTAACCTCACCGCGTTTTACAATACCGCTGCTAATTCAGCAAACTTTGAATATCACGTTGAACGATTAACAATTCTCCGAGGCAAGCACACAGGCCGCCGAAAAAACGCGGGGGTTCTTCAATTTCTGGCTAACTACCTCCGCGCTCGTGAAGTAAGAACAGCACACCTCGAACTCGTTTCCATTCTATTCTATTTAACTCATAATACTTCCGCTGATAATTTGAATCCTTGCGCGTTCTACTAAAATTTACATACTCTGGCATTGGCAGTTCCAGGGGAAAGTAAGGCTTGACAGGAAAGATAGTTTAAACTTAAAATAAATGTTAGTTAAAATAAATATAAACCCTACAACTTTAACAAATTCATGTTTACTTTAACAAATTCAAACTTTATTAGAAACATTGATAAAAGAATTAGTTATACACGCTGTCAAATTTCGTATTTCTTTTTCATTTATTTATTTATTTCTGCTTTCATTTCATATGATTATTTCCATAAGTATTCGAAGAAAAACATCGATACCCATTTTTGCTCCTATATATTAAATTTGCATTTGCGTATTCGCAAGCACATATTTATCACACAGTTATAGACAGCAAGCAGCACAGTATGAGCGTTAACTTGATTTGCAGCTATTTCCTATTAGGAAAATATTTGGATATTTAGGAAAATATTTGGGTATTTAGGAAAATATTTGGATATTTAGGAAAATACTTGGATATTCAGGAAAAAAATATTAATTCATCCTTTTCATAAAATACCGTTCAGACTCAACAATATTTAACTCAAATCTTGTTTTGCATCTTCAGCTTTTCAACTGTTTACTGTGCTAAAATGGCATTTGGATATTTAGGAAAATACTTGGATATTCAGGAAAAAAATATTAATTCATCCTTTTCATAAAATACCGTTCAGACTCAACAATATTTAACTCAAATCTTGTTTTGCATCTTCAGCTTTTCAACTGTTTACTGTGCTAAAATGGCATTTGGATATTTAGGAAAATACTTGGATATTCAGGAAAAAAATATTAATTCATCCTTTTCATAAAATACCGTTCAGACTCAACAATATTTAACTCAAATCTTGTTTTGCATCTTCAGCTTTTCAACTGTTTACTGTGCTAAAATGGCATTTGGATATTTAGGAAAATACTTGGATATTCAGGAAAAAAATATTAATTCATCCTTTTCATAAAATACCGTTCAGACTCAACAATATTTAACTCAAATCTTGTTTTGCATCTTCAGCTTTTTCAACTGTTTTACTGTGCTAAAATGGCATTTGGATATTTAGGAAAATACTTGGATATTCAGGAAAAAATATTAATTCATCCTTTTCAATAAAATACCGTTTCAGACTCAACAATATTTAACTCAAATCTTGTTTTGCATCTTCACTTCAGCTTTTCAACTGTTTACTGTGCTAAAATGGCATTTGGATATTTAGGAAAATACTTGGATATTCAGGAAAAAAATATTAATTCATCCTTTTCATAAAATACCGTTCAGACTCAACAATATTTAACTCAAATCTTGTTTTGCATCTTCAGCTTTTCAACTGTTTACTGTGCTAAAAAGGCTTCTCTTTTACAGGTGAACGTAGCAGTGCAATGCTTGAGTACCGACTTCAGCAATCAGAAAGGAGTGAAGGTAAGAACTGTAGGTCTTTTTAAATGATTCTTAACTTAACTTTTTAAGCCGTTAAAATTTAATAAAAATTTGATATACAAGATAGAAATTGCGATATTTTTTTCCATTTGATTAATTTTTTGTTGAACCAAAACAAGCTGAATTAAATTTTGATTCAACGGAATCGAATCGAAGTCATCTGAATGTTTTACTGCGCATAACATATTATTTACGTACACGCACTTGTGGCACATATGCAATAAATAAACCAAACTTCGGTTTATTATTACAAAGATACTAACAGATTAAAAAAAATTAACACTATCTAGGGCCTGAAAATTTACACAGATTAATTTTTTTGTTATGAATTTATTTACCCTTATAGGCAAAAATATATATGTAAAATGTCAGATTACTAATAATAATTTAATGCAATATAATAGATACTCGTAAGAAATTCATAGGAATGACATAAACTGAAATATTTAGGTTTTGGGTTATCATAAAGTAGATATTACTGAATTTCAGAAGAATAGGAATTTGCGCTAAAAGTCTCTTTGATATAACTGTATCACCGTTTACGTACTTTATGTGTGCCACATACTTGAGAATAGTTTGATTATGTGACAATATTCCTGAACATAATAGTAGTGATTCAGATTTACTTTTATGAATGCGCTCGGTTGCTTTCATTCTACATAAAAATCGGCATCTTATGTGTGGAAAATGAGTTATAATTGGTTTAAGTTTTCCTCTTACTTTTTTAAGTTTGACCGAATTTAAGTTTATAAGTTCGACATTTATTTAAATACATTTCAATATTTATAAATGTTTAATGGTGGCTAAACAATTTACATTTTCAGAGCATATAAGAACTCTTTTTCTGCAGTGTACGTAACTTAAGGTAATTCAAACCTTCATTGGATATGCCTTAATAAATGATTAGATATGTCATAAAAAATCTTTTCCTTCTCAATTATTTAGCCGTATGTCTCAAGATTTTTTTAAGTATTTTCTAGTTTTCTCCTTTACAAAGAGGAAAACTAGAAATCCATTTTTTTAATTTCTATGCCTTTTTGAGAATTTTTTGAGGATGACACTTCACAACTTTATTTTTTACTTCGCATTTCCTTACCAGACCTTGAGGTCACATTAATTAAAGTCTAAATTATATATTTAGTCTAAAATTTAATATTAGGAGTCATACGTTTTAGAGATATTAGATTATATCGAAGCAGAAGACATGAATATGAGCAGTGCCCTCGCCGGGACTCGAACCTCGGATCTCTCGAATACGCGCCGAGCGTGCTGACCCTTATCCCATGAAGGCATGTTGCGGGGAAATACCATATAACTTCAACGAATGAATATTTTGAACGACTGAAAATGACTTTTTACATGAAAATTAATAAATCACAAAAATCAAAACATAAAATAAAAGTCATTATTTATTTTATTACTTCAAGATGACATTCTTTGTTGCATGAAACTGAGTTTTAAAGAATGGCTAGTAAATATGTATGTATGTATGTGAATGTGTGTATGTGCTTGTACTTATATGTATGGCACTTATTTTATTACTTATTTTTATTATAGTAGTTACATCTTTGTCAAACTAGACTGTTTTTTAGACTAGACTAGAAAGTATTTGCTACCTAAAACCAGTTTCTTTTCCCTGCATAAACACCTTTCGATATTAAAACTTTTCTTTGAAAGGAGATTTAACTGAAAAATAATTATCGAACAAAAGAAAAATAATCTGAGAATCCTCATATTGTTGACATTATGATTAAGGTGTAGCCAATAGCATTAAATGTTAACATGTTTAAAAACATTACGTAAAAGACTTATCTTTTGCGTCAATACATTTTTATCCTCAACCGCAAAATTTTAACGTAATAGGAAATGGCGTAACTTCGAAATTCTTCGTTGATACTCTCAGCATTAATCAAAATTGCCGGCCAGTGACGTAAACGATAGAGCAATGCTGCATGTATTAAAATTCTTTTAAATTTTAAAAGTTGAACATTGTCTTGTTCGATATACTTTTCACTATCAACACCTAACGCAGATAAAAAAAACCGACTGTATTTAAAATAATAAATATAACAGCACTATTAAGGATACAAACTAAAAAATTTTTAGGCTTAAACTTCAGCAGACCACAGCGGAACCGCAAGAAATACAGACATGTCTTTAATTTCAGCGAGCGTAGTTTAATACAAACGGTAAATTAGGTCTCGACCGCAACCACAACAGCAGTCAACTTTGATATAGTACTTTCATCTCACAGGGTAAATTTTAAACTCCTCCTACCTCCAGTATTCCTGTCATATTTTTCCAAAGTCAAATCAATTTGAATTGTAAGATAGCTAGATTCATGAATGACAAATATATATATATAGTCAGCCCTATTTTTTTTTCTTTTTACATAGGACTTTCAAATTACTTTTCAGATCTGAAAATTGTTTGATTATTTTTATTCTTTTACATTTGCATTGCCTTTTGAACGTAAGCCTTACTAGGCCATTTATGTTTTCGGATTTGCATATTTTAAATTTTAAGTTTTTTTTTAAATTTTTGTAGGTTTTACTTTAAACATTTTTGTATATTATGTGGCTTAGAAAACGGAAGCACGTCGGAAAAAGAGACAATAAGTATGTAAAGAATATTGAGTTCAGTTAAAACTGTTTGAAGTCTCGGTGAATTTGTTGGGATGAAACACGCTTACGTTTTTCTAGTTGACCAACTTGATTTGAGGCTTTTCAAAACACTTTTCCCTTGACAACTTCTGTTTGAAGCTTTAAGCAAAGGAGATTAACAAAAAAATTTTTTGTACTGCGTTTTTTCCCATTTTTCCTGTTGTGTAAAACGTTTTAGTTCATAAATTGTCTTATTCTTAAGTATTGCATTTTTACTACGTGTTTCTGGAAACAAGATAAGTTACCTTCAAATATTTAAGCGGCTTTTGTTAGGTTTTAAATTCCTTACCTATTTAAATTATATAGATAGATAGATAAATTTTTCCCCTAATTTTTATATTTTGTAATAATATTCTATTAACAGATATATATCAAAATTAATTAAAACGTTGCTGGTATATAGTTTTGTATAATATGCGTTTGCCTAGCAGAAATATTTACATCGCTTACTTGAAATTGCGTAGCTATTTCATCTCAGATTTTGTTTTCCATCTGCATCAACATCGGAATCACTGCAGACAACAGACGTGAATATTTTTCTTTATTGCTACTGCAGTAAATCGTTTTTGCGAGGGGGGAAGATGAGTTTACTTTACGTCACCGACATGACCTAAGACAAATGAAATGTTTGATTTGCTTTTAACAACATTTCATACCTTCATTCTCTAGAAGCCATTTATTTGCTTTCCTTTCTATTATTCCAGCTACCGCATCTTACGGTGTTATAATGGGGTTAATTACATGATGGATGCAAATATTTCAAACCGAAGGTGTGTTTTCCTTGGATTTTCAAGGTTTCCATCAGAGCTGTTGTGCTGTAGCACTAATTTTGATCAACGTTTTTCTCGATTTAATGTAATACGCATTTTAAATTTATATTTCAGACACTACTTATAAAGAAATTTGAACAGTACTGTTATCATAACAGTATTTCATTCCAGCATTTCAAAGGTTTCCTAATAATACATTTAAATTTATACCTTATATCATTTCATAACGTGGACAAAATTAAGAGATATAAGTATATAATTATACGGATTACTTGTATTTTTATTGTTTCTCTTCGAAAACTTTTCACAGTATGAATTGCTGTAAGAATAACTTCATGATTTCGAAAGTAATAAAAAATACTTCTGAACAGATAGCCCTGATTTTATCCTTTAATTTGTCCTTAATTATCCTTTAATTTAGTTCTTTTCGAGATCGAACAAAATTAGTTAAAAACGCTTCAGATAAAAATTGATTAACAAACCTCATTTAGCTTTGTTAAACAATCTTCAAAAGTGTAATTTCTTCAAAAGGTATCGTTTCATATTTCTCTGTGCTTCTGTGAGTCAGCTTGACGAAGGTCTGGAAACTATGCGTCCGAAGTAATGTATGCAAAATCACTTCCAAAAATAGCAAGACGAAGAATAATATGTTCTCATAATGCAGATTAACAGGCAGAAATAACCTTACTTAAATTTTCATGCCACGTGTTACGACATTTTGCACGTTAATTCTGGCAACTCTAAGACAGATATTTAAAAGAAATAATTAAAGAGTATAAAACTATATCTCAGATTTACGGAATCTGCCACGTTTTTTAGTGAAGGCTGAAAAATCTGAGTTATTTCATTCCATCCATCAATTGTCAGTAAAACGGAGCATTTCTGATTGTTACAAATGGAGAATATTTGGCCTGTATTCAATAATTATTAGTAAAGAATTATAGCAGCTGCATTTCATCGATATAAATTGATGGTACTTAAAATATAGAATTGCATTCTATATTATAAGTACCATCAATTTATAAGTAAATAACTCAGCGAATACTCTTACTAAAATTCAAAATGCTTATGCGACACCGCCATCTAATGGAAATTTCTTGTTATTGTTCAGCCTTGAAAAAAAGAAATGCTAGATATCTTTCGAATGTGTTCAGTAAGCACTGACTGATACAACATATTGAAATCTTAAGGTCGCAAATGCTGTTGTACTGCAACGAAAGTATAACTGAAACCTGTTGGAAATTCAAGAACAGACTAGTGGAATATTGAACTTTCTCTGTAATAAACATGATAACTTGCAAATTGCCACTGCACTCGCATTGAAATCAACGCAGCCAGTATATGTTGCCCATCACTTTTCGAGTACTTGAAATAACTGAATACTAGTAATTCGGTTTGGTTTATTCTGTTCTATCTGCTTAAGGAGGAGGCCTTCGTGGAGGATTTTCTAAGGAAAACTGGCTCGAATATAAGTTACACATGGAGAAAATCGCGAAGACGTCCATGCAACCAGCTTGTTCACCTGGAACTACACTACCACTGTTCAGCA